TAGTGGCAAAATAGCTTTTTGTACTTATGACAATGTACTTTTAAGAGAAGAAGAATAGAATATTTTAGAGACTCATGTTAATCAACTTAATGGTGAATCCATATAACTATTTTCAGTTGCCTCCCTTTACTGTAAAATGCTTTCTCATATGTCTTATATTTATTTAAACACAAAGTTACTTAAATGATTAACATGAAAAGTACAGAATGATCATGAAATTACCCTAAAAACTGGTGGTTATTGTATTTAGGGTAATAGTTCTGATTTTAGAAAGCAATCTTTATTTATATATAATTCATAATAGCCTCTTCACAATAATTTATCTATGGAAGCGCCCTACAACTGATTCAAAGGAGTCAGCTTAATTTTCCATTTGCCATTTTATTTATCTGTCTGAATACCCACATCTGTTCTTTTCCTTCTTTTATAAGAAAATTAATTTGTCCAAGTTACTCTCCAGCATTAATATCTGACTTTTTATGAAAATTCTACCTCAATAGGCTCATTCCTGTTAGTTGCTTCACAGAAAAACAATATGCAGGCCTAAGCACTATGGCTCCTCACTTTATGTTTGTACTAGAGGCCCAGTGCACGAATTCGTGCACCGTTGGGGTCCCTCAGCCTGGGTTGTCTTGCCCAGTCCCGAGCAGGGCCAATAAGGGTCAGCCTGCTGGGGACAGACCGAGGGAGGTTGGCTGCCTGGGAGGGACTGTGGGAGGGTTCCAGGGTTGCCTGGCCCATCTCGCCCAGTCTGATCAGCCAGACCCCAGCAGCAAGCTAACCTACCGGTCGAAGTGTCTGCCCCCTGGTGGTCAGTGCACATTATAGTGACTGGTGGACTGGTCAAATGGTCAGACACTTAGCATATTACACTTTTATTATATATATATAGGATTAATGGGTTTTCTGGTATGTCCCCAATCTTAGCTAATTTCCTCTTTTAGTACAAGATGAATAGTCATAATATTGCCTTAAAAGTATTAATAGAAGTTAAAGGGGATACATTTCAAACTATTTCCAAACTGCATTTAAAATACTCCTAGGATTATATTTTTAAAGGGCAAAATCTTGAGAAATGTATCCCTAATAAAAACTACATAATAGTTTTAAATTGTGTTGTGCAGAGCAGCAATTTTCAATCTTTTTCATCTTATGACACACATAAGCTAATTACTAAAATTCTGCAGTGCACCAAAAGTATTTTTGCTGATTTGACAAAAAAATATAGGTACAATTTGATTCATTCACACCTGATGGCTATTGTCATGTTGTCATTTTTTAAATTTGACAATCTAAGGGAAAAGAGGTCAGTGCCCCAACTAAATCGTCAGGTATTGCATGTTTTAAAATTTCTTGTGGCACACTAGTTAGTGTGCCTGCCACAGCATACCAATTGAAAATTGCTGCTGTAGGGGAATGGCTAGTTCTTTACCTTCAGATTTGATTTCATCTGTTGTTTCTTCTTCCCCATCTTTGTTGAAATCTAATGCAGAACTCGGTGCTGAACTCTGTGAACTCTGAAAAGAAAAAGAAGCCTTTCAAAATGAGTTGCTCTTCTTCAAAGTTGCATCAACTCTCCCAATTAAAGAATGTAGATAAATACCTTGTAGTTGCCAAACATTCCTACTTAATTTTGCTAAGATTTAATGCTATATATTAGAAGCAACATAGTAATCAATCTATTTACTGCATTCACAAGATAAAACGTATTGGCTCAATGTGTAAGCACATATTCCTATTGCTAACAAAGTAATATGCTAAGAATATTATGCTACATGTACATTAATATTTCAATTATACAATACTTTCTAGAAACATAATTCACAGCATAGTGTAATCAGACTTTTGAAAATATTTCTTTTACTATTGGAATCATCTTCCATGTTTGTGGGTGAAAGAAAACATTTCATCTTAATTGAGGAAATTAAAGGTTAGTAGTGGCAAAATAGCTTTTTGTACTTATGACAATGTACTTTTAAAAGAAGAATAGAATATTTTAGAGACTCATGTTAATCAACTTAATGGTGAATCCATATAACTATTTTCAGTTGCCTCCCTTTACTGTAAAATGCTTTCTCATATGTCTTATATTTATTTAAACACAAAGTTACTTAAATGATTAACATGAAAAGTACAGAATGATCATGAAATTACCCTAAAAACTGGTGGTTATTGTATTTAGGGTAATAGTTCTGATTTTAGAAAGCAATCTTTATTTATATATAATTCATAATAGCTCTTCACAAATAATTTATCTATGGAAGCGCCCTACAACTGATTCAAAGGAGTCAGCTTAATTTTCCATTTGCCATTTTATTTATCTGTCTGAATACCCACATCTGTTCTTTTCCTTCTTTTATAAGAAAATTAATTTGTCCAAGTTACTCTCCAGCATTAATATCTGACTTTTTATGAAAATTCTACCTCAATAGGCTCATTCCTGTTAGTTGCTTCCTGTTTCCTTTCTTTGTTTTCTTCTCCATTTTCCTAAAATGGAAACAGTGTTAATAAGTGTTATCCAGAAGGAACTGTCGATAAACTAATACCTTATACTCTAGTATAGCAAGCTTTTTATGTTAAAAATTTTCACATAATGAGTAAACATCATACCAAATAAAATCACACCAAGGTAGTGTATTAACAAATTCAACAGTAACAGGCTCATTAATATACTAGAAGCCCGGTGCATGAAATTCGTACATGGGTAGGGTACCTAGCCCGGGCCAGCGATCAGGGCCAATTGGGGCCTCTTGGCTGCTGGCCTGGGCCTTCCCTCCCCTGACTTGCCAGTTGCCAGCCGGGGTCTCCCTTCATTCTGCACCACCCCCTGGTGGTCAGCCCATGTTATAATGAGCGGTTGAACTCCCGGTTGGTTGAACTCACAAGGGGAAAATTTGCATATTAGCCTTTTATTATATAGGATAAGGAATATCAACTAACTAGAAGCAGACCACTGCTTTTTAGTTGATCCCTTTTTTGCATTTTTGTTAAAATCTGATGCAGAACACTTCAACTAAAAAGAGAATTAATTAAATGATAGAGTATATTTCATCTCAATTCTTCCAAGAAAACTAGTCTCAAATCCTCTCATGGTTAAATGGTTAGGCATCTATTTAGGCCAGGTACCTGAGCAGGTTTGGGTTCCTCTTGAGATGGTGACTCACTCATCTGGACCAGCAAAAAATATCATCAAATGGTAGGGGAAAGTATTACCAGACCATTATTAATAACAAGTGTGCCTGCCACAGCATACCAATTGAAAATTGCTGCTGTAGGGGAATGGCTAGTTCTTTACCTTCAGATTTGATTTCATCTGTTGTTTCTTCTTCCCCATCTTTGTTGAAATCTAATGCAGAACTCGGTGCTGAACTCTGTGAACTCTGAAAAGAAAAAGAAGCCTTTCAAAATGAGTTGCTCTTCTTCAAAGTTGCATCAACTCTCCCAATTAAAGAATGTAGATAAATACCTTGTAGTTGCCAAACATTCCTACTTAATTTTGCTAAGATTTAATGCTATATATTAGAAGCAACATAGTAATCAATCTATTTACTGCATTCACAAGATAAAACGTATTGGCTCAATGTGTAAGCACATATTCCTATTGCTAACAAAGTAATATGCTAAGAATATTATGCTACATGTACATTAATATTTCAATTATACAATACTTTCTAGAAACATAATTCACAGCATAGTGTAATCAGACTTTTGAAAATATTTCTTTTACTATTGGAATCATCTTCCATGTTTGTGGGTGAAAGAAAACATTTCATCTTAATTGAGGAAATTAAAGGTTAGTAGTGGCAAAATAGCTTTTTGTACTTATGACAATGTACTTTTAAAAGAAGAATAGAATATTTTAGAGACTCATGTTAATCAACTTAATGGTGAATCCATATAACTATTTTCAGTTGCCTCCCTTTACTGTAAAATGCTTTCTCATATGTCTTATATTTATTTAAACACAAAGTTACTTAAATGATTAACATGAAAAGTACAGAATGATCATGAAATTACCCTAAAAACTGGTGGTTATTGTATTTAGGGTAATAGTTCTGATTTTAGAAAGCAATCTTTATTTATATATAATTCATAATAGCTCTTCACAAATAATTTATCTATGGAAGCGCCCTACAACTGATTCAAAGGAGTCAGCTTAATTTTCCATTTGCCATTTTATTTATCTGTCTGAATACCCACATCTGTTCTTTTCCTTCTTTTATAAGAAAATTAATTTGTCCAAGTTACTCTCCAGCATTAATATCTGACTTTTTATGAAAATTCTACCTCAATAGGCTCATTCCTGTTAGTTGCTTCCTGTTTCCTTTCTTTGTTTTCTTCTCCATTTTCCTAAAATGGAAACAGTGTTAATAAGTGTTATCCAGAAGGAACTGTCGATAAACTAATACCTTATACTCTAGTATAGCAAGCTTTTTATGTTAAAAATTTTCACATAATGAGTAAACATCATACCAAATAAAATCACACCAAGGTAGTGTATTAACAAATTCAA